CACACTGGTGCTGTCATAATCCAAAAATGATCATAACGAAAAATGAGTTAATCATAATTTAGAGTCTCCAAGCGATACGTGACGTGACATTTAAGTGTTTCTAGCATTTAGAAAATACAACCGCAGTAATTTCCACACATACCTTTCATAATTTATGTACGTGTGTTCTTTGGAGTGTTTTGATGTGTCCTTCCAGAGCTATGTCATATCATTGACGTTGACGGTACGTGGGTGTGGGTTTTCGACAAAACCTCATACTTGTAATATATTGGTGTTACTTGAATAAACAATCAACGCTTAATGATTAATTCAACGGTGACCCCACCTCTCTGACCAGACATACACGCTCTCAGTTGCGATAGTAGTGGCAAAAAGGGGGAAATCACACACAGGGAGACAAGGCAGGATGAACTCAAAACTAAAGGTATTTATTTTCCAAAAATAAAATGAAAGGTAAAGCTGTCATGTGTTATCAAAAATACTAAATGAATAGATGTCCAAAAGACTAGACACAACATGCCAGACCAAAAACAGAATGGACCACGTAACAGGAATACAGTAACAAAAGTAGCAATGATCTGGGGGCGAAAAAAAGACTGTAAAAGACAACTAAATACAAGCAAACTAACGAGACAATAAGGAACCACTGGACAAGATATAATTGCTTTGAGGGAGCAATCCAAACAAAACAGAATCATGACAGTAAAATGTTTTCAGGTGTTATATCATTCAAAATGACAGCTGCCACATTAAACACTGACATTTTAAACAAACAATTTAGAATCGTACAGTTATTTGTTGAGGAGAGTCAGCTTTTCGTTTCTTTCTGGCTCTCCTTGGACACAGGTTCTTTTATCTCTCTAAAAGGTGGAAGAAGACCCAACACCACGTCGTCTTTCTCTTCAGTTTATCACAACACAACACGAATCGATTCGGGCTCCTGTGAGTCTCAGATTTCATCAGGAAGCCCCGAAAAAATACAGTCTCACGTATATATAGGCATAGTATGTTAATTATATTAATGAGGGGCGGGCAGTCCTTCCCCTTATGTAAAAATCAGAGACAAAGAAAGGTCAACATAGTTCAATCCTTACTTGGTTACAAATTCCAGACCACTTCAGCTGTGCATTAACCATGAGTTTTAGAGATCCCTGCCCCAGGGAACTGGAACTTGATAGCCCTGAAGAATTCCACGAAGATGGAGGACCTGGGGAGAGGGCCTTGGTTGGGGGTTTGTTAAATTGTCCCGGGGTCAAAGGGGAGGAATGCATAACCCTACCCTTGTTTTGAGTGCTTCAGCAGATCCACAGGACACGGATTAGTTTCAATAGTCCTCATGGTAAAGCGAAATTACTCAACAGATTATATAGAAACAATATGATAAGGAGAGGCGGGGAGGTACGTCTCTCATGCAATTCCCGGAAACAGAAAAAGTAACATAACATCTGACCCAGTGTGGCTGGAAGACGTTTGGAGTGGTGGGGTGAGACCAAACCATCACACCAAATGGTGGGTCCATTTGGTGTGATAGCAAGTTCCAGAACCCCCGCTGTGTATACATCCTGAGACAAGAGGGCTTCCCAAGGGGGCTTAACAGTGGTCAGGGACTGACCGAAGGCGCGCTGAACAACAGAAGACATTTAGGGGTCTGTTAATCAACCAAGCAGGAAAAAGATAAACTTTAACACTACATACGTTGTTTTAAGTGTGCAAACAGATGTTGAATTGAATTGAATTGAATACAACTTTATTGTCAAATGTGCTGTACAGCACAGATGAAATTTCTTCCCTCTCAACATAAAACAAGAGGAGCCGCTTTCAGGAAAGAGGCTGAGATCAATAGTACTCATAGTAAAACGCAGTCCCTCAATAGCTGCAACACAGATACTTGAGATAACAGTTCCTCTTTTGATGTTGACATGTCCTCTGGAGAGGTCATAAAAGTAGTGGGGGTGAGAGGTTACCAAAGGTGATTGTAATCACAGTAAGCAGGAAATACCTTCAACAGCATTCTACATTGTTTCTTTCAAATCCAGCTAACAGAGAGAAATCATGTCTTAACATATTCCAGAGAGGTAAAAAACATGTATTACTAAGCAATTTACGAACATGTACAACAACAAAAAACATACTGAAAATAAGCTGCTAGAACCAAGAGTGTCCACAAAGCAATTAGTCAGAATTGTAAATAGATTTGCAACCAAGAAAAACAACATTTGATTTCGATTGACAGCTTGAATGAAACACAATGAGTCAGCCTCATCTTTCTTTTGTTGGGTGCCTGAATATGAATTCCATGATGATGGTACAAAGTGACAACCTGATGTTGTTTTTGAAAAGAGTACGATCAAATCAATGAGGCCAATAGATGATGTAAAAAGCAGAGACAGTGCAACACTCCACAGGCAGAAAGGTAGATTCGCTAAGCGGCGAGACACTGGCTCCACGAAAGTCTGACACATGTACAAAGCAGCAAATAGTGCAAAAGTTCCCATTAGGAGGTTAAAAACTACTTTGACCCAATCTCTGACGAGGGATCTCGGCTGCATGATGTAACATCCTATTTGGACTCCTGCCATGTAGATGGCAACATACCCTGCTATGGAGAAAATGCCCTCCTTGTTAGCGTGCAGGAAGTCCTTCTCTCTGTCATTGTTGTGCATGATAAACGCCTTGAGGCCTGTTATATCCAGAGCAAACTGATAAACACAACTTATGACAAGGGCCAAGATCCACGAGTGTTTTGCTGGTACAACAACCAAAAGCATTTTGGTCGCCACTCTGACAATGGCCAACGTGAAGAAAAAATTCCAGTGGACACCATATTCAGTTACATGTTCTTGGTAGTCCCTCAGTTTGACAAAAAAAAGTCGTGCTACACCGAGAACAACCAGGGGCCAGACGGACAACAGGTGTTTGCAGATATATTTCATCTTGGAGCCATAAACACTCTTGCCACGTGCTTCAGGGCACACTAGGCCATTTGCAAAGATGAATGCTCCGACACCAAAGTCCATCACGCCTGTTCCATAAGTTTCTGTTTTGGCATACCGCCTTGGGAAGACTCGAAAATCAACAGCCAGAATACTGATGGCTGTTTGCACATTCACCATCACTCTAAAAATGGTCACAAAGGGAACTTGTTTGAAATGAACGGTCCTGTTGAAGAAGTTGCTGAGAGATGTTTGACGGTTACTACTATAGATGTGACAAAGCACACATAACAAAACAAAAGCAAAGCTCAAGACCACCTGGAGAAGATGGTCGCTCAGGATGGTGCATGACAGGACGAGGGGAAGGACCAGCACCGAGTAATCAAGGAGCAGGTGAGAAATCCTCGGAAAAGGCAGAGGTAGATTCCCCTTCGCTTGATGGTAGAGAATCAGAATGAGTCCTCGGTTGAGGATGCATAGCGGCGTGAGAAATGAGCCCACAACCACTTCCTCTAAACTTGTTCCGTTCAGGTTACTGACAAATGCTTCTTTCAGTTCCTTTTGAGACATGGCCTAAAAACATAGAAAAATAAAATACATGATTGACATTGGAAACTGATAAAAATAAAACCAAAAGGAATTATTAATTTTTTACTGGAGGCAAGTGAAGTTGGAAAACTATTCTGTGCATTATCATGGCTGAGAAATATACTTTACTGTATATTAATTTTTAAATTTAGTTGCACTGTATTATTCACCTATGTGTTCAGTATTGTCTTACAAAAATACATTTACTCATTGTGTAAATATGTATACGATGCTTTTCTGAAAAGCCAATGTTATATGACTAAGGGTTTAGATGTCTAGATTTTGTGACGAGTTTAAAAAAAAATCTCTGAAAACATACAAGTAGTCGGGATCCACTGTCAATAGTTTTAAAAAATAATGAAGCATGATGTAGAATCAACAACAGACTTCAACCTTGATTAATTGACCTAACCGTTAGAAAAATAAATTTTTCAATATAGTTTCAATATCTGCTTGCTGTCTGGGTAGGCTACAAGGAAGATAACCTCGAGCCCCTTTGTCTTTTATAACTTCAATTTTCATCGAAATGTTTTCCTTCCAATATTTTTAACTTATTTCATTAGGTTTTTTTTTTTTTGTTGTTGGTTTCTTTTTAGACGTGAAACGGGAGTTCAGTGTGTAGACGTCTCCTTTTTATTTCTGTTAAGTTGCAGAATAAATGTGCTGAAATGAGACGATGGACGTGTGTTTGTTAAAGATGCAAGACAGTTCCATGGAACGCCACCATTTGACACTATGAGAAAGTCTCTTCTGACAGATCGTCTTAAAATAATACTGATGACCTATTACTTTCGGTTTGGAAGAAAAACACTAACTTTTTATCACAAGTATTGCACAAGGTCAGGATAACTAAGTGCATCCAAAGTAGATGGAACTAAAAGTTCTTTGTCTTGTTTTCGGTACTCACCACATGTTGATCTGCAACGCATCTGCCAAAATAAGTTTTGCTGCAGATGATATACTGTATTGTGCAGCATCTGTGTGACGTCACAATCCAAGTCTCCCTCCACTTCCCCATCTTCATGACGTCGCGTTCACGGACAGTCGGATTTTTCACCACCACATTTTCTTGAACTTTTTCAAGAACATGTGAACATCACTCGCAGGCAGTGTTTGCAGTTCGATATGATCGTATTAAGCGAAAACTGTCTTGTTTTGGTATTTATCTTGGTAGACCTGTGACTGGATCATGTGCAAGCAAGCACGTGAAGTTACAACTTCAAAGAAAATTATTCTTTAGCAGTCGTTCCCTAATTGTTATTTTGACTGCCTCAGTCAAGAGATTCTGGATTCGAATTTCAGCTCAGGCCTTCTTGTTGGGAGTTTGCATGTATGCTACGGGTACACCCGATGTCCTTGTACATTGACCCAAGAGCTGTACAAAAAGGGACCTCTCCACGGTCCTGCGGCAATGACACAAGACTTTACTTTTTCCAAAAATACATTTTAAATCAACACAATTTATTGCCATCAATAAAACGATTTCTTTACCAAAATTTTATTGTAATTCCACAGAGATGTAAAACATATACAACAGTGCAGTTTGTAAACATGTAAGACAGCAGTGCACAGACAGAAAATAAATCAGTGCAATTAAGTGTGTTGACCAAGGTGTTGGTCATTCCTGTCAGGACATTTGAGAGCAGGAAATACAACAACTGATTCTTGTTGATGGCTTGAACAAGACACAATCCTTCCATCTCATCTTTCTTTTTGTGGGAGCCTGAATATGAATTCCATGATGATGGTACAAATTGACAGCCTGATGTTGTTTTGGCAAACAGTACAATTAAATCAACGAAACCAATACATGATACAAAAAGGAGTGATTGAGCAACACTCCACAGGCAGAAAGGGAGATTCGCTAAACGGCGAGACACTGGCTCCACGAAAGTCTGACATATGCACAAAGCAGCAAATAGAGTGAGAGTTCCCATTAGGAGGTTAAAAACTGCTTTGAGCCAATCTCTGACACGGGATCTTGGCTGCATTACGTAACATCCTACCTGCACGCCTGCCATGTAGATGGCAACATAACCCGGCAGGGAAAATATGCCCTCCTTGTTAGCGTGCAGGAAGTCCTTCTCTCTGTCATTGTTGTGCATGATAAACGCCTTGAGGCCTGTTATATCCAGAGCAAACTGATAGACACAACTTATGACAAGGGCCAAGATCCATGAGTGTTTTGCTGGTACAACAACCAAAACCATGGATGTCAGAACCCTGACAAGGGCCAACGTGAAGAAAAAATTCCAATGGACACCATATTCAGTCACATGCTCTTGATAGTCGCTCACTTTGACAAAAAAAAGTCGCGCTGCACCGAGAACAACCAGGGGCCAGATGGACAGGAGCTGTTTGCCGATATGTTTCATCTTGGATCCGTAAACATTCTTCCCACGTGCTTCAGGGCACACCAGACCATTCGCAAAGATGAACGCTCCGACACCAAAATCCATAACACCTGTTCCATAAGTTTCTGTTTTAGCATACCGCCTTGGGAAGACTCGAAAGTCTACAGCCAGAATACTGATAGCTGTTTGCACATTCACCATCACTCTAAAGATGGTCACAAAAGGAATCTGTTTGAAATGAACAGTCCTGTTGAGGAAGGTGCTGAGAGATGTTTGACGTTTACTATTATAGATGTGACAAAGCACACAAAACAAAACAAAGGCAAAGCTCAAGACCACCTGGAGAAGATGGTCGCTCAGGATGGTGCATGACAGGACGAGGGGAAGGATCAGCGCAGAGTAATCAAGGAGCAAGTGAGAAATCCTTGAAAATGGCAGAGGGAGACTCCCCGTAACTTGATGGTATAGGATCAGAATGAGCGCTCGGTTGAGGATGCATAGCGGCGTGACAAATGAGCCCATGACCACTTCCTGTAAACTTGTCCCATTGAGATTACTCACAAATGCTTCTTTAAGCTCCTTGTGAGACATGGCCTGTAAACAATAAAACAATAATTGACAACATGAAAAAAACAATTGAAGCATTTAAGTTGAGTGCAAAAGGACAACCAATCAGTTCCTTGTATAAACCTAATTAAAGTAACTCTGAAGTGTTCACATTAGTGCTGAATCTCTTGGCATTTACTGTTAGTCATGGCAGGTTTTGGGGCTTTCTAACATTATAGTTTCACACATGGCTGGACGACTAAATGATCTTATAAATTAATTCACCCTTAAGACTTGGGACAGTTTGGGAGGGTGAAAAAAAACGATTGAAACAACAAATTGGAGAACTTTTATGAGAAGGTCTTTTTACCTTGGCCAAACGTAACGTCCATCCGTAAGCCTATTGTACTTTCACTTTTGTTATTAAGAACCTACCACGTCTGAAGCCCGGAATACTCCTTGAAAAATGTCATCTGCGTCATGTCCTAACGATTTCATCATAATTATTATTTGCAGTACTCAACTTACCATGATTTTGTCCAGACACAGAGTCACATAAATATTTGTATGTTAGGACAGATTGCCTCAAACTAGGTCTGATTTCCAAGATGCAGGAATAGTTGCAGTGCAGGTCCTGATTTCTCAAACATACGGAAGTCGAGCTGCAGCGGAAATTCAACGGCAGCGCCACGTGGACAAACTATGCGATTTCGCTATATTTGGTGTTTTTTTTTCCGCGACCAAACAAAAACGACAATAAAAATAAGAGCAATAATATGTGTACAGTGCTACAAAATGTAGCGAGCACAGAGTAAATGGAAACTTCACGATACTGAAAATGCGATTATGATGAGACTTTTTCATTATATTAGGAATTTAATAACAATTTGACATGACGGATTCCGTTTTGATGTATGCCATGTACAGAAGGGCTCGCTTATTGAACATTTGTGTAAATATTCATGAAACTTTATTTTATTTGAATTTCGTGTTCAAAATTTTGCTACAAAAAACTTAAAATCAGCTTTCCGGAATATAAATTAGGTTTTCTTATCTTCACCACTTATTGAGATACAAGGGAACGTAAAGTGACACAGATTTATGAACCACAATGCATATTTACTTGAAGAAGGCAATCTGTTACATGTAATTTTGATCCAAACCGTTCCTATGGCATCTTCATTCTGTAAAAGTCAGCTTCTCTGGCTGGAAGAGCCATAGCGTTTTCAACAATAGTGGTAAAATACAGTACTGCTGTTTTAATTGAAACCATTTTTACAAAAATGTACTTTAATCTATTCAATTTAAAAGGAGAACTAAAAACAGCATGGACCACAGTTTTTTTTTTACCAAAATTTTACTGTGATTTTACAGAGGTGTAAAACATATATAACAGTGAAGTTTGTGAACATATAAGACAGCAAGACACAGACAGAAAATACGTCACTGCAATTAAGAGTGTTGATTAAGGTGTTGGTCAATCCTGTCAAGATGTTTGAGAGCAGGAAATATAACAACTGATTCCTGTTAATGGCGTTAACAAGACAAAATCCTTCCAAGTCATCTTTCTTTTTATGTGAGCCTGAATATGAATCCCATGATGATGGCACAAAGTGACAGCATGATGTTATTTTGAAACAGAGTATAATCAATTCAACTAAACCAAAACATGATACAAACAGGAGAGATTGAGCAACAGTCCAGAGGCAGAAAGGGAGATTAGCTAAACGGCGAGACATTGGCTCTACAAATATCTGGCATGTGATTAAAGCAGCAAATACTGCAAGAGTACCCATGAAAAGGTTAAAAACTGCTTTGAGCCAATCTCTGACATGGGATCTTGGCTGCATCACATAACATCCTACCTGGACTCCTGCCATGTAGATGGCAACATAACCTGCCAGGGAGAATATGCCCTCCTTGTTAGCGTGCAGGAAGTCCTTCTCTCTGTCATTGTTGTGCATGATAAACGCCTTGAGGCCTGTTATATCCAGAGCAAACTGATAGACACAACTTATGACAAGGGCCAAGATCCATGAGTGTTTTGCTGGTACAACAACCAAAACCATGGATGTCAGAACCCTGACAAGGGCCAACGTGAAGAAAAAATTCCAATGGACACCATATTCAGTCACATGCTCTTGGTAGTTGCTCATTTTGACAAAGACAAGTCGTGCTGCACCGAGAACAACCAGGGGCCAGACGGACAGGAGCTGTTTGCCGACATGTTTCATCTTGGATCGGTAAACATTCTTCCCACGTGCTTCAGGGCACACCAGGGCATTTCCAATGATGAACCCTCCAGCACAAAAGTCCATAACACCTGTTCCAAAACTTTCTGTTTTAGCATATCGCCTTGGGAAGACTTCAAAGTCTACGGCCAGAATACTAATGGCTGTTTGCACATTCAGCATTACCCTAAAAAAGGTCACAAAGGGAACCTGTTTGAAGTGAACAGTACTGTTGAGGAAGGTGCTAAGAGAGGACTGATGGTTACTATAATAGATATGAAAAAGGACACATAACAAAACAAAGGCAAAGCTCAAAACCACCTGGAGAAGATGATTGCTCAGGACGGTGCATGACAGGACAAGGGGAAGGGCCATCATGATGAAATCGAGAAACAGGTGAGAAATCCGTGGAAACGGCAGCGGTAGATTCCCCTTGGCTTGGTGGTAGAGGATCAGAACGAGTGCTCGGTTGAGGAGGCATAGTGGGGTGAGAAATGAGCCAATGACCACTTCCTGTAAACTGGTCCCATTGAGGTTACTGACAAATGCTTCTTTCAGCTCCTTTTGAGACATGGCCTGAAAACATTAAAACAATTGACAACATGACAAAAATGTAAAAAGCAAGACCTCATAACACAAGTTACAACCAAAGTCTTCATATTATTTACATTTATTTGACATACAAGTATCATTTTAGCAGTCTTTTTCTATAAGGGGTTAACCCTGCTCATTCTACTGGAAAAATAAAATATTTTAATTACATACTGTACTTACACAATTTTTGACACAATGCAGGCTCATAAATGTTGTATGATAGCAGGAAAGGTTGCCTCGCAGATCTGAATCCAACCAGGATGCGTGTTTTTTTTTTTACCAAAATTTTACTGTGATTTTACAGAGGTGTAAAACATATATAACAGTGAAGTTTGTGAACATATAAGACAGCAAGACACAGAAAGAAAATACGTCACTGCAATTAAGAGTGTTGATTAAGGTGTTGGTCAATCCTGTCAAGATGTTTGAGAGCAGGAAATATAACAACTGATTCCTGTTAATGGCGTTAACAAGACAAAATCCTTCCAAGTCATCTTTCTTTTTATGTGAGCCTGAATATGAATCCCATGATGATGGCACAAAGTGACAGCATGATGTTATTTTGAAACAGAGTATAATCAATTCAACTAAACCAAAACATGATACAAACAGGAGAGATTGAGCAACAGTCCAGAGGCAGAAAGGGAGATTAGCTAAACGGCGAGACATTGGCTCTACAAATATCTGGCATGTGATTAAAGCAGCAAATACTGCAAGAGTACCCATGAAAAGGTTAAAAACTGCTTTGAGCCAATCTCTGACATGGGATCTTGGCTGCATCACATAACATCCTACCTGGACTCCTGCCATGTAGATGGCAACATAACCTGCCAGGGAGAATATGCCCTCCTTGTTAGCGTGCAGGAAGTCCTTCTCTCTGTCATCGTTGTGCATGATGAAAGCCTTGAGGCCTGTTGTATCCAGAGCAAACTGATAGACACAACTTATGACAAGGGCCAAGATCCATGAGTGTTTTGCTGGTACAACAACCAAAACCATGGATGTCAGAACCCTGACAAGGGCCAACGTGAAGAAAAAATTCCAATGGACACCATATTCAGTCACATGCTCTTGGTAGTTGCTCATTTTGACAAAGACAAGTCGTGCTGCACCGAGAACAACCAGGGGCCAGACGGACAGGAGCTGTTTGCCGACATGTTTCATCTTGGATCGGTAAACATTCTTCCCACGTGCTTCAGGGCACACCAGGGCATTTCCAATGATGAACCCTCCAGCACAAAAGTCCATAACACCTGTTCCAAAACTTTCTGTTTTAGCATATCGCCTTGGGAAGACTTCAAAGTCTACGGCCAGAATACTAATGGCTGTTTGCACATTCAGCATTACCCTAAAAAAGGTCACAAAGGGAACCTGTTTGAAGTGAACAGTACTGTTGAGGAAGGTGCTAAGAGAGGACTGATGGTTACTATAATAGATATGAAAAAGGACACATAACAAAACAAAGGCAAAGCTCAAAACCACCTGGAGAAGATGATTGCTCAGGACGGTGCATGACAGGACAAGGGGAAGGGCCATCATGATGAAATCGAGAAACAGGTGAGAAATCCGTGGAAACGGCAGCGGTAGATTCCCCTTGGCTTGGTGGTAGAGGATCAGAACGAGTGCTCGGTTGAGGAGGCATAGTGGGGTGAGAAATGAGCCAATGACCACTTCCTGTAAACTGGTCCCATTGAGGTTACTGACAAATGCTTCTTTCAGCTCCTTTTGAGACATGGCCTGAAAACATTAAAACAATTGACAACATGACAAAAATGTAAAAAGCAAGACCTCATAACACAAGTTACAACCAAAGTCTTCATATTATTTACATTTATTTGACATACAAGTATCATTTTAGCAGTCTTTTTCTATAAGGGGTTAACCCTGCTCATTCTACTGGAAAAATAAAATATTTTAATTACATACTGTACTTACACAATTTTTGACACAATGCAGGCTCATAAATGTTGTATGATAGCAGGAAAGGTTGCCTCGCAGATCTGAATCCAACCAGGATGCGTGTGGTTAAAAAAAAAAAAAAAGCATACGGATCAAGATATGCGCATGCGTATGTCAACCAGCATCTTGGAAAAATTCCAATGACACTCAAACTGTACTTACAAAATTTTTGACACAAGGTTGGCTCATAAATGTTTCACAGCAGGACAAGTTGGCTCGCAGATCTGAATCCAACCAGGATGCCTGTGGTTAAAAAAAAAAAAAAAAAACACATATGGAACAAGACATGCTCATGTATATGTCAACAAACACCTTGGAAAAATGTCAATGCGACTCCTGTATGTTTTGTACATTTCTACTGTGCAATGTGGTGGTTATCGTGAATAAAGGACAAGACATGAAACATGACATGTTGCAATCATGCAAAAGTATGATTCTGCGTGTGGTGCCTAGTGTTAAGTTTACCCTGTTATCCAGTTGTTAACTTGTTAGCTCTGTTAAAATTTCTTTCAGTCATAGAAAGTTATTAATTGGGTTACGATCTTTCACTTTTGGATGTAAGTATAAAATACATGTTGTCCTGATTTTCCTTTTGTTGGACTCTTGTAAAGTGTTTGAGAATTAATTTGAACTGGGGCATTAACACATTCCTCATACTGTATATTTTTCGGGGCATTTGGTTTTTAAAACTCCCTCAGGGAAGGGGTTCTCAGAGGCCCGGCTCCACACTGCCCCTAATTTTAGCATTTTGCTCCTAAATTTTGAGATATTGCAAGTAAATTTTTCATCTACTCCCACCAGTGTGACCAGTAAATTTGCTGTTTTCTTTAAATAACTATTCTTTAATAGTTTTATTTGTGACAAACTTCTGCTCCTCACTTCAGCCCATATAGTGAAAATGAGTGGAGTGAGTATTTATTTACAATTGCAAGTCAATTTACGACGGCAGTGAAAAATTAATGAACCCAGGTTTGTCCTAACAATATACAGTAAAGATACTGTATATATTTTTTAAATGAAAACAAAACAGACACATATAGGAAATAAAGATCAGGGATTCACACTCCAGTCTGGTAGGTGGCGGTAATGTACTAAACGTTGGTTTACCAACCGCCCCCAAAAATTCACAAGAGAAGAAGGAATCGATTTGTGCGTGGCGTCATAAGAAAGAAGGCGGGAATAAGCGTGTGCACTTCAAGAGCTTGTGAGCCAGTCGGGTTGGGACCAGGCAGATACGGGAGTTGCCCTTGAAGAACTTGTCAGTATGGCAAAAGTTAGGATTCGTTGCAAAGTGGAATTGACAGTGTTTTAACAGCCTCATCGTACACCACAACTCCTCGGCTTAATGAAGGCTAAACCCATAACTTCTGCGAGTGGCCATATCAGTGCGGGATACAGCAATGGAAGGTGGAGTGGTAAGTTTGGAAAAAACCTCACCAACCTTTCAAAGAAAACTTTGTCAGCAAAATTGAGCTTACATGGAGTCTGAAGAAGCAGTTGATCCAAAACAGTCCCAGAAAAGCGAATTTTCTCAGTTACTGTGAGTTAAGGGAACAATATTCATTTCCATTTGAGACTGTGAAGTGGGACATGTACCAAATAATATGAGCAGCATGTTCGTGCTTGCACTCTGGCGTTATCTCTTCCGAGTGCTGATCACAATATTAGTTACCGGTAGTCGCACAATCCTCGAGTGTTGTATAAAAAAACTGGTGTAACTTAATGTACTCGATGGTATTACCATAAATTAAGTATTTTGGTCATCCGATGTACCACAGTGGCACACCTAGCACATACTGTATACATGTAGTGTATATAAATTAGTCATGTCAGTTGTAGCTTGACCTATTCCAGAGGTTATGAAGAGGTTATGAGTTCATATAGATTGAAAGCTTAACTTCTACATGTGTTCACACAGCTGATATTGTTGACAGTCCCCGGTTGCACGTCCAAGCCATGTGATCTTAGAGAGGGTTAAAGAAGTTTAAACTGAAATTACATTCATCAATTCTTTGTCCAGGTTCACTCTATGCAGGTCCAAGGTTCCGTACAGGAGGTTTCTTCAAGCGATGGATGCCTTAATGATTCATTGGAGGATGAAATTCTTGCCTTTCTTATTGATGGTGAAGCTCAATTGCACACATATGATGATCTCACCAAAGTCAACCCTGTGACGCCAACAACCGGTAAGAACAATAGCTACAGTATATCTTCATTGAAGCGTTTCTAGTAGGGGTGGGCAACATAAATAATGGAGGGGACCACAATTTTTCATCAGCGCTACTGGGGGGCAGATAGGACCACGCACTTCCTAACCCTATGTATGACAAAAGTGGCATTTAAAATATCGAGAAAATTCATACATGTCTGTTTTTTATTGAACCTATGTACAGTACATGACAGTATCTTGAGTTATTTCATGCTTAATGAATGCAAAGATGATGCAGCCTTCAACCACAGCGTTTGAACAATGAAAAAAAAAACATATAGTGTGTTTTTTTTCCCCAGTGGATAAAATTTACAATGAATCAGGTTTGTCCTAACAATATACAGTAAAGATACTGTATATATTTTTTAAATGAAAACAAAACAGACACATATAGGAAATAAAGATCAGGGATTCACACTCCAGTCTGGTAGGTGGCGGTAATGTACTAAACGTTGGTTTACCAACCGCCCCCAAAAATTCACAAGAGAAGAAGGAATCGATTTGTGCGTGGCGTCATAAGAAAGAAGGCGGGAATAAGCGTGTGCACTTCAAGAGCTTGTGAGCCAGTCGGGCTGGGACCAGGCAGATACGGGAGTTGCCCTTGAAGAACTTGTCAGTATGGCAAAAGTTAGGATTCGTTGCAAAGTGGAATTGACAGTGTTTTAACAGCCTCATCGTACACCACAACTCCTCGGCTTAATGAAGGCTAAACCCATAACTTCTGCGAGTGGCCATATCAGTGCGGGATACAGCAATGGAAGGTGGAGTGGTAAGTTTGGAAAAAACCTCACCAACCTTTCAAAGAAAACTTTGTCAGCAAAATTGAGCTTACATGGAGTCTGAAGAAGCAGTTGATCCAAAACAGTCCCAGAAAAGCGAATTTTCTCAGTTACTGTGAGTTAAGGGAACAATATTCATTTCCATTTGAGACTGTGAAGTGGGACATGTACCAAATAATATGAGCAGCATGTTCGTGCTTGCACTCTGGCGTTATCTCTTCCGAGTGCTGATCACAATATTAGTTACCGGTAGTCGCACAATCCTCGAGTGTTGTATAAAAAAACTGGTGTAACTTAATGTACTCGATGGTATTACCATAAATTAAGTATTTTGGTCATCCGATGTACCACAGTGGCACACCTAGCACATACTGTATACATGTAGTGTATATAAATTAGTCATGTCAGTTGTAGCTTGACCTATTCCAGAGGTTATGAAGAGGTTATGAGTTCATATAGATTGAAAGCTTAACTTCTACATGTGTTCACACAGCTGATATTGTTGACAGTCCCCGGTTGCACGTCCAAGCCATGTGATCTTAGAGAGGGTTAAAGAAGTTTAAACTGAAATTACATTCATCAATTCTTTGTCCAGGTTCACTCTATGCAGGTCCAAGGTTCCGTACAGGAGGTTTCTTCAAGCGATGGATGCCTTAATGATTCATTGGAGGATGAAATTCTTGCCTTTCTTATTGATGGTGAAGCTCAATTGCACACATATGATGATCTCACCAAAGTCAACCCTGTGACGCCAACAACCGGTAAGAACAATAGCTACAGTATATCTTCATTGAAGCGTTTCTAGTAGGGGTGGGCAACATAAATAATGGAGGGGACCACAATTTTTCATCAGCGCTACTGGGGGGCAGATAGGACCACGCACTTCCTAACCCTATGTATGACAAAAGTGGCATTTAAAATATCGAGAAAATTCATACATGTCTGTTTTTTATTGAACCTATGTACAGTACATGACAGTATCTTGAGTTATTTCATGCTTAATGAATGCAAAGATGATGCAGCCTTCAACCACAGCGTTTGAACAATGAAAAAAAAAACATATAGTGTGTTTTTTTTCCCCAGTGGATAAAATTTACAATGAATGGATGGAAAAAATCTGCTTAACAGTAAACCAACATAAGTATAAGAAGTAATTTTGTGCTTTTTTTTGGGACAAAAGTCAACACACAAAAAATGTAAATATTATTCAGGTACTATGTTTGTTCTGCATGCCATTCCAAATCCACAAAAACATATTCTGCCTATACTTACATTATAGTATGGCAGTATAACCCCCCCCCCCGCAAAAAAAAAATTATATTGGAAAAAAAATCTGCAAATAGGTGAATCAGTGGGTGACAAATTGCAAGTATGCAGCGGTCCACTGTAGTCGAGGAATATTGATGATCTGCCCCGTCCCCGCAAAAAACACAATGATGGTGTGAATGATGAACTGCAATTTAGCAGGGGTACATTGTGCTTTTTATTATGTTCTTTATTGAGCACTTCTGATGCTTGTAGGAAAAAACAAAGCGCCTTGTTGCATTGTGCAGCACATTTCCTCATGCCTTAAGAAAGCTAATGTTTCTGTCTGACAGTGCTGAGATGCCTGCAGGCCAGGTACAGCGTGAAAGTATTTTACACCCATGCTGGCTGCACCTTGGTGGCTCTTAACCCCTTCCGACCCGTCCCTGAGCTTTACTCCCTGGATGTGATGAAAGAATATCACAATGCTGCCCAGCTCAAGGTATTTACATCCATACAATATTTACATCCATACAAGAGATGATTTCAGGTCACTATGTTTTCAGTGAACCAACCGGTAAGCGCCTCATAGGACGAATTTGCACTGCAAGTCCAAGTGCCCTATAGCTGATTTTTCATTTCCATGGATATTTGAAGTGACTCTTATCAGATGTCAACATGAAAGTGTTCAGGAGTGAGAGTCAAATAGCCTATTGACAATGAGTGGAACAGCTGGAAGCGCCTACCCCAAAAGTGCTGAAGTTATTGATTCACTTACTCTGTTGTCTTTGTAACTCTACAACCGCTCTAAAAGGCATCAAACATATTTGGAAAAAAAATAATTGTTTATTGTTAATTCAACTTGAGGGGGATTATTGACCTCCTTCTGCTGGTAGTAAAAAACTTTGAGTAATTGGAGCCTAATCACAAAGTTGTCAAAATTGAAAGCAAGCAAATTGTAATTCTGACCTCTGTCCAGTCATGTTCTTATGTCCTCACACGTCTCCCTTCAGTGAAAACCATATCAACAGAAAATGATGTCTTTCTGCAGGAGCCCAAGCCACATATCTTTATCGTGGCAGAGGAAGCCTACAGGAATGTTCAGGGCCAGCTGGGGCCAGTGAACCAGTCCTTGGTGGTCAGCGGGGAGAGCGGTGCAGGAAAGGTAGACCTTTTGTGGTGAGCGAGATTGTGATTGAAGAAGAGATTCAATCTCGGCTCAGACATTTCTGTGGCACTTGCATGCTCTCCCAGTCCTACGTTAGGTTAAGTGAATATGATGGATTTGTTGTTGGTGTAAAGTAAGTTTGTTCATCTTTGGGCTGGGCAAAAAGGCTTGTTGGAGCCTAGCACTACTATTTATATTGTATGGAGCTCAAAGTCAGTTAATAAGGGCTACAGCTTATCAAAGCGCAGCACATTATAAGCAGTAGAAAATGGAACGATGTTAAGTTTTTATCAGGCTTGAGTATATTCCCTTTCTGCACAGACTTGGACTTCTCGTTGTCTGATGAAATACTACGCCACAGTGGCAGCCCCCTCCTCAGTGGTGGAAAGTCATGACACTGTGGAGAGGATTGAGAGGCGAGTGCTGGACTCCAACCCCATCATGGAAGCTTTCGGTATGACGGTTGGGCTGCTGTCCTTTTAAAAATGACAGGCATCATTTGGGCACGGTACTAGAGTCAACATTCCGGCTTCCATGCAGGCAATGCGTGCACACTTCGCAACAACAACAGCAGTCGCTTTGGAAAGTACATCCAGCTCCAACTCGACAGGTAATTACAGCTGCTTGTGAGGAACGTTCATTTCGACAAGACGGTGCCTGGTTGGCACGCCGGTAAACGTTTAAACCTATTCATCTGGTTTTGTGTGTAGAGGTCAGCTTTTAGTCGGGGCATCTGTGCAGACATATTTACTGGAGAAGACCAGAGTTGCCTTCCAACCAGCTAATGAAAGGAACTTCCACATCTTTTACCAGGTGAGTCATACAGGAAACTTCACAATACTGTGTACCTCACAAATACTTAAGGATCACCTTGTCTAAATCAAATGGGCAATTCAATTTGAACTTCTTAAATTTCTGTCCCAGTGTTGGGTAGGAGTGGAGTGGGAGTACAGATTGGCTTGCTCGCGGACACATTTTCACTTCCACCAGATAACTAAAGATTTTTTTATTTTATTTAGACATGATGGGTTAGCAGGCACCCCAGATAACCAGCTATTTGTATACAAGCAATTTTAAAGCCCATTTTCCATATGTCCCCGTGAAATACATCTAAAGTTGCAGCTGTAAACTTTAAGTCCAATGTAGCCTATGCAAGGCGTGACAACTCAAAACATTCACATTGGGGATTCTATTTTTCAGATGATGAAAGGAGCCACGAATGAGCAGAGAAAAGAGTGGAACATGTCACGAGGTCACAACTTTGTGTGGCTGCCAAATGTCGAAAAAACGATTGAGGGTAGGTCTTTAGTTTATATATTCATTTTGTTGACATTTTGCCAGCCCTGAGTGTGTAATGTCTTGCAGAGGACTGTTTTCAAGAGACACTTGATGCAATGGTCCACTTGCGTATAAATACACAGAGGCAAAGAGAGATATTTAAGGTAAGCCTAAAAATACTTGTTTGTATTTGGAATCTTTGCTTTGTGCAGAACAATTATTCTGAATACATCTATATTTTATGGGATCTGTTTTGTTATTGTAGATGCTAGCTGGTATTCTGCATCTGGGCAATGTGAAATTCTCAATTTCAGCTGATGAAACGCAGCCGTGTGACATAAAGGAACAGTCCAAAGGTATTTCATGAAACATACGCTATAAAAGGGAAGAAGGTTTAAGAAACAGCATATTTGTTTGTTAAACAGTTAATGTTTCAACCAACAATATGATGTTGTCACCTTCGTAAAATAAGGGCCAAGTCATTCTTATCAGACAACAGGGAAAATAAAGCTGAACTAAATGCAGATTATATTTATCATTAATTTGTTTTCGGGAATTGAACGATCTCTTTAACTACGGATGGAGCTGCTAGTCACCATCCTGAGGAGATGTTGAAGGCAAAATATATATATATTTTTTTGTCAAAATATGACCTAGGCCGTTATTTTTAAGAGGGAGTGATTCATCTCATTCAATTAGTATATCATGAAAAAAGTGAAACTCATGTTTTATTGCTTAACTACACACTGTAAAAATATATCATGATTCGGGGGGTGGGGGAGCATTCACAAATTTCTCTTGAAGCTAACAATTTGCATCTCAAGAAATTCCAATATTACATAAATATATTTTTAATGCCAATGAGTCTGTACAACATAGGTTTAAGTTTTTGAATTAAACAAGTGACATATATGAATGTTTCTGGGATGTCCCACTTGTTTTGAGACACACCTCCATGTGTTTCAGTCTCCTTGCATTGGGCGGCTGAACTGTTGCAAATTCCTGCTGAGGAGCTTCAGACATGTCTAAATGTGAGGACATTAAAAGCAGGGAGGCAGAGTGTACACAAACCCTGTTCCCAGGCAGAATGCTGCGTGCGGAGAGACTGCCTTGCCAAAGTCGTCTATGCAAAGTAAGAACAAGCAGTTGATCATCAAATGATCGTTTTTTTCCCTCTGTGTCGAAGACGTTTTGTCATCAAACGCTCAAATGTTAAACCACCATGTCTTTTTGTTTCCGGTAAACACAAGTAAGGATGTGGCTTGTCTTTCCGCACAGATTATTTGAATGGCTGGTGACATTTATCAACAACAGCATTTGTGCTGACAAATCCACTTGGTGCAACTTCATAGGTACATTTTTAGGGTAGTCACAATACTGACGATAAAGTATTGACTTTTAGAACACTTTATTTATTTCGCTGATTCAACTCTTCAACGTGCTTATTATTTTTGCATCTGTCTTTTGTTTCAGGTGTGCTCGATGTATACGGTTTTGAATGTTTCCAAAGTAACAGTTTGGAGCAGCTTTGTATCAACTATGCCAATGAAAAACTCCAGCAGCACTTTGTTAGCCATTATCTACGAGCTCAGCAGGTACCGATTATTGGTTTGCCGTACAATACTTTTTTTGTTTTGTTTTTTCCTCATGGTGATGATGATGTCAAGCTTCAGACATCAGTGACACTATTTTCACTCTCTTGCTTCAGTTTTTCCTTTTTTAATAAAGCAGGTTAAAAAAAAAATCTCAATATTCAGCATGTATGCAATCAAAACTACCAATTTCATTGGATTATTTATTCATTATTTATCAAGATATCTGTGGATCTTATTGTCTCTCATTAAGGTTGCGGGTTAACCTCTCCCAGTTGACTTTGGGGGAGTGGCAGGGTACACCCTGGACTGGTCACCAGGGAAATGCAGGGCACGTTGATAAACAAGTATTACCAGCTACAGATAGTTGGGAGTCTTCAATTAACCTAAGAACCATGTTTTCCGTGATGTATGATGAAGCCAGATAAAACTCATGCAACAGATTCGAATGCAGAGCATCTCACCTGTCAGGCATAAGTGCAAACAACTACCCGCTGTGATGCTCGATTAAAACGACTTGAAGCAAACTAACAATGACGTGGACATTTTTTCCAAGGAGGACTATATGTCGGAGGGATTGCAGTGGTCCTTTGTCAAATACCAAGATAACCAAAGCTGTTTGGATCTCCTCGAAGGAAGCCCTAATAGTGTGTTTTCTCTTCTCGATGAGGTAACTTTCTGTGGTTTGGTGCCTTCCATAATTTCTTTTGTTTTTCCTGTAGTCAAGTGGCCCCCCTCCCCCCTTTTTTTTTTTTTTTAATTAAATTTTTTTTAGGAGAGCCGACTTAATCGAGCCTCGGATGCCAAGGCGCTTAGGATTCGTCTGGAGAAGGAGCTTGCTGGCAACGGCAACATCAGCTGGGATAAATTCAGCAAAGTGCCACACTTCACTGTGGCCCATTACGCTGGCAAAGTCAACTACAAGATAGAAGGCATGGTGGAGAAAAACAAGGTGTGTTACCGACCATTAGATCTATCTATTCAGCTTCTACATTTGTGAGATTGCTTTTGTTCTTTGTGGGAACTGTTTTGCGAAGGGTATTTTCTGTTCAACCATAAACAAAGTAAGGTCCAAAAATTCCTGCTCGGTTATGAGGTACATATATGGGTGCTGATATTGAGCAGGTCTGCTATCAAGGCCTTTATTTACACACTGCTCTTAGGTAGAGCACCATCGACGAATCCATGCATCGTGTATGTGCTGCGAGGATGCGATGACGGAACACCGTGTTGAAGACAATTCAACTCGAAAGTAGCGTCGCGGTGATGCCAGATGGCACATGCAATAGGATAGAAGTTGGCGGAGTGATTTCCGAGTGCTAACAGCAAAAGACCAACCAGACCAACCTCAGCCTTAATAGGGCCAAGCAGAATTGAAAATGAATGGATCTTCATAATGTCCTCTCAATTTGATGTCATTTGTGTTCCAGGATCCAGTGGCCCCTGAGATCATCAGTCTGCTTCAGATGTCAGATAATCCCCTGCTTCAGCAGATCTTCACAGAAAAGAAAACTCACAACTCCTCAAGCAAGGGGCTCAGTAAAGTCACCGTAGTCTCAAAGTTCAAGGTAGAAGCAACTTGGATATTCAGATGACTTGTGTTGGCGTAACACGGAATTAGTCTTGAGTTGACACCAGTGTTTATGTGGCTTCAGAACTCCCTGCAGAGCTTAATGAGCATCCTCCACAGCACAACTCCTCACTACACTCGCTGCATTAAACCCAATTCTGACTGCAAGCCTTTCATCTTTAAAAAGGAGGAGGTAAATCTGGACATGGAACATTTTATTTTTCCTGTTAGGGAAATACAAAGTATGATCATAAAATGCTGCCATCTGCTGCCAGGTGATCATGCAGTTGGAGGCTTGTGGGATTGTAGAGACGATACACATAAGCGCTGCTGGCTTTCCTATAAGGTAAAAACAATTTCTCTTATTGCTTTAATTCCTGTAATTTATTGATGAATATGGTTGTTCACAGGATTCCGTTCAAGTGTTTCATACAACGCTATGGATGCACACTGAAACACTCAAGTTTCAAATCAGAAGTTGAAAACCATGGTAAGTCCAACTTGTTGCCGAATCATTCAAAGAAAAATGGATAATTTGGCATGTTTTCTATGGGGCCGACAGTGATTTTATTTCCTCTCTTTAGGTCTTCTGGTTTATTCTCATTTTCCCTCGCTAGCACTCTTAGTTAATCTGACCCTCAGTTCTCCCCTTGGGACATTTCACTTAAATAAAACAAGATTATCTAACAAAAACTGCAACCTCTTTTGAACTTTCCAGGTACAGTAAAATGCATGAATTGTCTGGCTGTCAGAGCTTGCGTTGCTTATTGTGTAAATGTTATTAATTGTGCTTGAATTTCTGTTAGTTTTTAACCCACTGTCAAGGCACCTTTTAGTGTTGAACAACTGCACTCCTCTAATTTGCACTTGCATGTTTCGAGGTATGATTTAATACCCATGTCTGTAAGCGCTCTATGTTGCGTGTCAAACACCTTTAATTATCGCTTCTTCTCAACCGTATTAACTCCAAATTGCCTTGTGTAAAAAGTGAAGGCCGGCTGTGACCACGACATGGATCTACAGGAGGTTCAGAGGATACTTAGCCTGGCGTTCCAACATCCAGCACATATTAGAAGGGAACCAAAATCTTTGGTGCACTGTGGGCGGACTAAAGTTTTTCTCACCCAGTCAATGGTTAGTCGTTAAAATAATTCACCCTCTCCCTATGAAGCGTATTATGAATGCCTACTTTGTCATTGGATGGCCTTCTATTCTTTCATTGTTTGGCCAACAGTTAGACTTACTGGAAGATCAGAGGAAGAAGATTCTCTACAAGTGTGCTTTCTGCATTCAGTGCTGCTGGATGCGCTACCAACGGCGCAAACGTTTTGAGCGACGGCATTCTGCTACTCTAATCCAAGCAGGTAAACTTATAATGCCTCGGTGAGGTAGAGCTGCCTGTGGCCTCTTGGCTCACTCCCAGTCTGGCTCCTTTTGACCCGACTGTCTGGCCAAACAGGAACCAGCAGGAAGCATCTTATCACTTATCTGATTAGCTCGTCAGAAGTAGCAAATGTCAGACACAACATTGGCCCATCTGCTAAACTAGCATGTTTTTTTCTTCGAATAGTGTTGCTGCTAACAATAGACTAATGAAACAAATTTTGGATGCAATAATCTTAATACAGGAACATTTTTACATTTTGAGTGTTTCCATCATAGAGTAATACTAACATCCATTCAATGCTGCTTTTGATCTTAGGCCAAATCAATAAAACCGTTACTTTGGCCACCATATTGGTTCCACGGAACTACGTTGAATTGAAGAGTTTCATTTTGCCCCCCCCCCCGCCCCCCCGAAAAAAAGTTTTGCTGCCATCTTGTGGTGTGTATATATATATATATATATATATATATATATATATATATAGAGGCAATTTAAAATCATTTTTAGGTGGACGTCAATAACTGTCAAGAGTTCTTGATTCATTTCAGGACGTGGTCCATTTGAAGATTCTGAGTCTCTCTTATGGGATACATTGCAGTCCTTTCCAACCAAGGTTATTTTCAGGTGATTTTTATTCTTCTTGCAGCGGTGCGTTCTTGGCTTGTCAGGAGGCGGGTCCAGAGATGGGACAGAGCTGCGACACTTATACAGAAATCCTGGAGGAAGTGGAGGGTACGATTTAGGAGGGCTGGGTCTCACGTGAGCTGGAAATAATTGGTGATTTTCATGTTCTCACATCAGGCATTGTTGAATTCATTGGCCGAGGAAGAGCTCGATGATGTAGAAGACCTCATCATGCAGGAAGACGTGTCAGAATTAAACGCCATCATCGGGGAACAGGGCTCGGTGCAGCTGTCCAGCATACAGGAGCCGGTCACTGTGCGAGGATGGCCTATGGGTCTGGCTTTACCCTCGCCCCCATCCATCACAGTATCGATGAGGGCCACTGGCTTTCACAAGATGATGTCTGTGGTGGCCTCTCTCAAACTGCCATCCAAGAGAGGAGAGTACAAGGTGGAAACCAACCAGAGCATGCAAGGAATCGCCTCTATTCGGGCTCAACCCAGGGTGAGCATGCGTGCCTAGAATTTCTTTGACAATTTTCTTTAAGTGGGGTGTTTTTTTGTTGTCGTAACTGTTCTTTTGAAAGTACTTTTCTCCCACATTTCAGGGATCTGTTAAACTGCACTGCCAACGGTCGCCCCTTCTTTATGCAAACAGCCAGCCAGAGATGAGGAATTATGTGACCGGCTTCAATGAGATCCTGTTGGAGAAGACTTTGTAACAGTACAGCCTACTTCCATGTGCAAGCTGCTTTTACAGAAAAGTTGTCATGTGACACAGAGGGAAATGTTCTAATAATTTTGTCACGTTACTTTTCAGCATAAGGTGGCTTTTGAATGCAGTACGGTTCAACGGCTTTTATAGTTTTAAGCGCACTACAACCATTTCAGGTGAACTTAATTACTTTTTTTAAACTTTAGACTGCACGTCCAACTGTTTAGTGGTTGAGTACTTTTTGCACAACTTGTTCTCTAAAAGGAGCTGAATGACAAAATTCACCATCAATCGACTAATACGTTTTAAATTTGAATTGGTTCATCACTGATCAACACTAACTAGCCGTTGTGAAGCTTTGCATGGGATGTTCTCAAAGTAAAGTGGTCACTTGAGTTTAGAGCAGTGGTCTCCAAACTACAGCCTGGGGGCCATTTGTGGGCTGCTGTCCATTTTTTTTGTGACCCATTGCGTGCCATATACTAAAATTAAAACTTGGACATGGCTTGTGTCATTTGCTTGCATTGCCCTATCAGCTTTCTACACTGGATAATAATAGTGCTTCTCTTGCAAACAGATGGATGTTGCCACTTGAGGAAAATATTTTGTGTCAGTGCTGCCTTCCATTGAATTTAAATCACAAAGTGTTGTAGCTTAGATGAGTGAAAATCAACAACAAAAATGGGCTGATGATATTTATTACCGTAGTTGTCATGATGTACTCTATCATGAAAAAGACTGACATGCACATAAAATGTCAACACATACTTTGACTTGCATTTTGCAGAACCAAAGTGGGTTTGCATTTTTTGCACATCGAAAGCAGATATTGCACATCCAAACACCAAACAATTTACATGCGATTCAGGAAGAGAGTTCATCAGACTGCTGCTTTAATCTGCACGCCAGTGGAATATTTGGAACTTGTTTCATCCATTTATTTTTAAATATTGTTTGTCATTGGAATATCGTGCGTTTTGACTAATGCATGCATGCTTTATAGAGGAATATCTGAATACAAAATTGAATGATTTGATTTGTAAAAATAAATGACTAAATAAGATTAAAAAAGGTATATTCAACATGAATGCCTGATGTCTGCATCTTTCGTGATCATTTTGTATATTTTTAGAAAATACAACATGATTACCAGTCCATGACATCACTAAACTCCTCTGGGTGAGCTTCTTTTTCTACAACCTTCAAACATTGATCTGAAAACTCCACAAATAAGGGCTCCTGCATAGCTGCTTTCATTGCTTCTTCCTTGCTGTCGGCACCGTCTATAGTCCTTAATAGTTCTCTTAGGTGGGGATTACAAAGAAGGTTCTTCAGATCTTTTGATTGACCTGTGGAATACATTGGAAACCATCAATTACTCACATCTGACCTTTGGAAAAATAAAATCAGTGGTATACCAGTGTGGAATTTATGTATAGTCAACACCCAATTTTCACTGGAGAACTATTCTTGAACCACCCGCAATAAATGAAAATTGATGATAGACCATATGAAGGAAAAAAAAAATCCCTTAGTTTTACTCATCTTAAACGCTTTCAACACTTTTAAACTTATACACACTTAAAACTTAAGCATCCATTAATTAATACATAATTTAAAAAAAAAAACATTTTCAATTCATACCTAACAACTGAAGCCTCTGTAGAGATACTAGATCGGAGATGGCCTCTTCAGGCAGAAGATCATCCACACTCCATGTTTCTGCAGTCGGAGGGTCTGTGTTCTCTTAAAAATAGTGCACCACATATTTTTTATTAATAGTCAGCATAAAATAAATGCCAACATCATCGCTCCACCTTTTAGTCAGTAAGATTTACATGAATCATTTCTATTAATCTTGATTTCTCCGATCATATTCACAGATTTAGTGGATCATACCAGTACTGAGAGCGTCCTTTGTTCCATTGTGTATGAGCTGCTTAACAGGAAGGCACGAATCTGATGGAAGGATATATTACAGATCACTTATCATATAATAACTCATTTATTCTGGAGTTTTACATTAGAACCAATGTTCCTTACCTTTATGCTTCTTGTAACAGGAAAGGGAGCAGCTGAAAGGGGGAATCACGTTTATATGCTCATTTATTACCAAAGGTAAATCAATAGAGTACAGTATTGTGTATATTCAACACGTACAAGACATGCATGAATTCACTGCGCACTTTTAGACGTTATTCCAAATTATTGAAATTCACCTGTAATTATATATTTAACCAAGACACTCGTTTAGTTTAATAATATCGCAGCAACAAAAAAACGGCAATAGTTTGTGTGCGAAGTCGAAATCACTTGCATGGATTGGCTGCATCCGTGACTGTTTTAAGAAAAACATTTTCCAGTTTGTAATGTTAGTCTCTATATTTAACACTTGTAAACGCGAGCCAACCAAGCAAGAAAGATCACAGTGCACACGTGTTTAGCAAACGAGTTAAAAAAAAAAGGCTCGTTACTCACTATCTTATTTCGCAGGCTGGGCATCTGTATTTGGGTGTTTGTTCGCTGCACACTCTACACAGCTGCATCATGACACGATGTTTCCGTAAATAAAAGATTGTTGATTTAGCCAGTCAAAATATTTTTTGAGGAAGGCGCACGAGGTACTGACCCGGAAGCACTTTACCACGCCTTGCCAACCTACCCTTCAAGATAAAAGCAAAGATGTCACTTCCGAAGTCTTGCAAAAGGAGTAAACTCGTAAAGGGTTTCTAGCCAAATAAATTCAAAAGACCAGCAAGTGCTGTCTTTTGCTAAGCGACTACGTATTCTTACTCCTTTGCAGAATCCATTTGATTGTACCATTTGAACTCATTTTATCATGTAATTTATGTCCAGCTTCTACTTTATACAAAAATGCAGAGTGTTGCTTCTGTCACACCCACTGTATGACTGAAATTATGCATTATACGGACAGAGACGTCGCTGGAATATGCCTCACTACCACCAAAATACCACAGGTAAGACAGTTGTTCTACTGTGTGATTAATTATCTTACTAGAGTGGCAAAAAAGGTACCAGTACTGTACTTACATTTCAATACAAGACAGTGCGTAAGTAGGATACGCAATAAATGCTTAAATGTCTTGCCAGAGGAGGGTCTACTTGTTGTTTTAGACTTTCAGAAATCGTTTCTAGAAAATATAAGGTATATTTAAATTACTACATTCTATAGTATGGAAACAAACTCATTTGAGTAACATCCATTTTATTCCGATAAAATACAGTAAAATATCCTCTCCACACGAAAGGAATACATTTATCTTTACATAGGAATCAAGCACACATGGCTGACCTACTTAGCTCAACACAAACTATTCTTGCACAAGTGTAATTTGAGACCAACAGATCCTGTTACAGTGGAGGAAGAAAGCGAGAGGGAGCAGCTGTCAAATGGCACATGATTTGGCATGGGCATGGTTATCACACTTGAGCCACACTTGAGTCAGGAAAGGAAGAGTCTCTTGGCCACAGTCAACATGAGGAGTCCAGTGTGGGTTCCAGCCCTACGTAGAAATAAAACAATAAAACAAATTGAGTTTCATTCCTACAGGGGCAATGTAAACTGAATATGTATGCATGTCAGTTTATCACCATTGCAGGAGTCATAAATTACAGTAAATATTAGTATGGAAGCACTTTTAGGCCATAGTATTTCTTAACAATACATTGTATCGAAATCAAACATCGGGGTCTTCAAATTATGATACAAAGATTTCGCGCAGTGGTGTAAGACTACAGTATATTAACGTGGCACAAATAAAATAACGGTTACCTACCGTCGTACTTACCATTTTTATGTGATTGTTTTATAATCATAGCCTAAAGTGTTTTTCATACAATTTTACCCTATAATGACAACGTGCACGCAATTAACTAGTTTACACAGCGGCGTCAAAAGTTTCACACGCGCCTTCAATGTTTTTTTCCCATTTGATTGTTTTATTATTATGACCTAGAATGTTTTATTTTACCTAGATGTGCTTAGCTTTCACAAAGCCATCTTCTGACGTCACTCACCAGGCCACATACTGTACTTTAAAAGCACACGTCTGATACACTTTTAACAAACGTCGCTTTGTTGTTCAACTGACAGCGGGACTGCAACAAACCCAAGGCCTTCAGAGAAAAAGCCACCCAACATAACAGTCAGCCGATTCAAACCCCGCACCGCTACCTGTAAACAATCCAGGAAGCCAATCGAGAGACATCAAGAAGACAAGCTTTTGGTTCTCCTGCGTTTCATTTCGCTGTTGTAAAATTTGGTCGCAATCTTCCTTTCGTGTCCGGCGGGGCAATGGCGATTGGTGTTGAGCTCCGTTTCTTTCTTGGATCTCCCTTTTCCGCCGACGTGACACGAATATTCAACCAGATTGTAATAGTCGTATTGGTCGTAGTAGGCCTCCTCAAAAGAAGAGAGTGTTTCGACGTCGGTTGCCATTTGTGCAGGATGAAAGCTTCGCAGTTCGCCTCAGTGTGATCTGAATCCCGAGTTAGTAAACACACGGTGTCACTGTGTTGATATACGCCTTGTCACGTGACCGTGATCGCCCACGTGACAGAGCAAACGTTGCGCACGGTCACTCATCTGTATGAATTTACATTAAATTCAACGAACAAATAAACGAAAATGTTTTAATTGCTTGGTGAAGGTGTGAATTTAAAACAATATAATGAACAAGTAGCACTTGAAATTACTTTTATTCATTTTTTGAGAACGATCAGTTGTGTGCTAGTTCACGTTGTGCATGCTATTATGCTGTCTTCAATTTTTTGTTACTCAATCACTCACTCACAGTCAAACTCACTCACTCACTCACTCACATAAATAAATAATAATGCCTCACAGTGCATTGGTGCAGGGTTTGATTGCAGCTCCAGCCTTCAGATGTGGAGTTTGCATGTTCTCCCTGTGCCTGTGTGGGTTTTTTCCAGGTAGTCCGGTTTCCTCCCACATTCCAAAAACATGCATGGCAGGTTAATGGAACACTCTAAATTGCCCCTAAATGTGATTGTGAGTGCGAATGGTGTCGATGTGTGCCCTACGATTGGCTGGCAAGCAGTTCAGGGTGTACCCGCCAACTGCCTGAAGACAGCTGGGATAGGCTGAGCCTATTAGGCTCCAGCACACCCGCGACCCTTGTGAGGATAAACGGATTAGAAAACGAATGGATGGATTGATAAAAAAAAAAAAATCTATTAAATATTACAACAATAAGACAACACAGCAAAATATCAGCCTTTTGATACACACGTGCATATTTATTTATTTGTTTGCGTGCTGTTGGTAAATCTCTTGCCATCTTAAGTAAATAAACACGAGTGTGATGTATTTTTATTCCAGCTTTCACAAAGCCATCTTCTGACGTCACTCACCAGGCCACATACTGTACTTTAAAAGCACACGTCTGATACACTTTTAACAAACGTCGCTTTGTTGTTCAACTGACAGCGGGACTGCAACAAACCCAAGGCCTTCAGAGAAAAAGCCACCCAACATAACAGTCAGCCGATTCAAACCCCGCACCGCTACCTGTAAACAATCCAGGAAGCCAATCGAGAGACATCAAGAAGACAAGCTTTTGGTTCTCCTGCGTTTCATTTCGCTGTTGTAAAATTTGGTCGCAATCTTCCTTTCGTGTCCGGCGGGGCAATGGCGATTGGTGTTGAGCTCCGTTTCTTTCTTGGATCTCCCTTTTCCGCCGACGTGACACGAATATTCAACCAGATTGTAATAGTCGTATTGGTCGTAGTAGGCCTCCTCAAAAGAAGAGAGTGTTTCGACGTCGGTTGCCATTTGTGCAGGATGAAAGCTTCGCAGTTCGCCTCAGTGTGATCTGAATCCCGAGTTAGTAAACACACGGTGTCACTGTGTTGATATACGCCTTGTCACGTGACCGTGATCGCCCACGTGACCGAGCAAACGTTGCGCACGGTCACTCATCTGCATGAATTTACATTAAATTCAACGAACAAATAAACGTAAATGTTTTAATTGCTTGGTGAAGGTGTGAATTTAAAACAATATAATGAACAAGTAGCACTTGAAATTACTTTTATTCATTTTTTGAGAACGATCAGTTGTGTGCTAGTTCACGTTGTGCATGCTATTATGCTGTCTTCAATTTTTTGTTACTCAATCACTCACTCACAGTCAAACTCACTCACTCACTCACTCACTCACTCACTCACATAAATAAATAATAATGCCTCACAGTGCATTGGTGCAGGGTTTGATTGCAGCTCCAGCCTTCAGATGTGGAGTTTGCATGTTCTCCCTGTGCCTGTGTGGGTTTTTTCCAGGTAGTCCGGTTTCCTCCCACATTCCAAAAACATACATGGCAGGTTAATGGAACACTCTAAATTGCCCCTAAATGTGATTGTGAGTGCGAATGGTGTCGATGTGTGCCCTACGATTGGCTGGCAAGCAGTTCAGGGTGTACCCCGCCAACTGCCTGAAGACAGCTGGGATAGGCTGAGCCTATTAGGCTCCAGCACACCCGCGACCCTTGTGAGGATAAACGGATTAGAAAACGAATGGATGGATTGATAAAAAAAAAAAAATCTATTAAATATTACAACAATAAGACAACACAGCAAAATATCAGCCTTTTGATACACACGTGCATATTTATTTATTTGTTTGCGTGCTGTTGGTAAATCTCTTGCCATCTTAAGTAAATAAACACGAGTGTGATGTATTTTTATTCCCTCTCTTGGTATGTGAGTTCACACCTTTCGACAGACATGTTGGCGTGTTTTTGTTCTGGGCCTGTACCTCAGCGGCGGCGGCTTCGGCGTGTCCCGCCCCCTCGCCGTGTGGCGCGTCCCGACGCCTTTCCACGTCGCAGTCGAGTCAACCGACTAGCGAGCTGCGTATGTCTGCGTGTCTCCGGCTAGGCTAGTCGAGGGAGTGATGGCGGCGCCCGTTCTGAGAGTCTCCACCCCGCGCTGGGAGAGAATAGCCCGGCTGCTGGTCTGCCTGCTGGGCATCCTATTGTCCCTTTATGCTTTCCACGTCGAGAGGGAAAAGGCCCGGGATCCTTCTTATAAGGCTATGTGCGACGTCAGCAGCTCCATCAGCTGCTCCAAAGTGTTCAGCTCAAGGTAATTTGAATTCAGCCGAGGGCGCCCACGGTGGCGTTCGTCGCCCAATGAATGTGACTGCTATTGTAGCAAATCCGGGCCGAAGCTTTCTGCCTTCATGCTACCCACAAATTGCTCTGGTTAGCCAATGGCTAACTAGTTTAGCTTGCTTACTGCAACCTTTATTTTGATCAGCGCGCCTAAATCAAATCTACTGATGGCTAATCCTCTCAACGAGCTATTTTAGCATGATGAAGCTAACTGTGCTCTATGAGCTAACTGCCCGGTAGTTATCATTTTACTGTCGCTTGACCCCTTTACATTTGTTCATTAGAGTATTTCACGCCGCGTGTTACATAGGAACGTTACTAAGTCCAAATGGAAATAAGCTCTGGTGGAAAAGTTGCTTTCACTTTCCACCTGAGGGTTTGGCCAATTACCCGGTTTACTGTAAATGTACTAGTATTGACAAACTTTGTTGCCCTTATGTTAGCTGTCATTAGCTGGCAAGCTAATGTCACAACCCGCGCACAAAAGTGTCGTCTGGTCACCTTA